ACCTTGTTGTCTCGGATTCTCCAGCATCTGCAGTTCCTACTATCTCTGATTCGGAATTACTTTGTGCAGCTGCTTTATGAAACAGAATGTCTAGTGTTGCAGCAAAAGCCCAAGAGTGCTCAGAACCTACCAAAAGACCTCTTCCACAATTAACAGTTTTCAGCAATTATCAGTCAAACATACAAGTAACACCATTATATTATATCATGGTAATATGAATGATATGTCCATTAATTTGGAAATGCTGAGCAACTGAATTTTGAAAAGATTCAAAAACCATTCCAGTGAAAACAACAGGACATCTGAAGACAAGATTCATCACCAATCGAATGTAATTAAAATCTATGCTAAGTTACAAACATAAAACCATGCCAAAAATCAAGTTCCATTTCCGCATATCCACGATAACAGTTTGGATGGATGAAAATTGAGTGAAGTTGTAGATCGATAATGTGTGGAATAGGCTTTCTGGTAGCCTGTGCAAAGATCACAGTACGGGACAGGTATAGATGCTGTCTAAGAGGTGCCTCTTAAGGAATAGCACCCAAACTGCATTTATACCATGGGTCTTATGTCCATTGTTCAATCTTTGGATATATGACTCCACAAGCTATTCAAACATCCCATTCACACCAAATTGGTAGAAAACATATTTTCACAAAGCATGGACATATGCATGCTGCCCCATTTGATGTTTTGTGTTGGTTTTAATCAGCAAATCAAAGGATGCTGTTAATACAGAAATCAGACAATTCAAAAATATAGAATACAAAATTCAGTGAAGTGGAAGATGTTTTGCTGTGGAGGATTTTTCTGAAACTGAAGGCACCACATCTGATCCAGATGATGCCACAGCCAAGATGATTTAAATGATTTTGATGAACTGTGTTTGATATCAAAGATAATGAATTGGATGGGTTTTAAAATGTTTTCAATGTGGATAATGGTAAAATTGTCAAATTAATTCATTCAAAAAATGTCACACAGGTTTGAGTTGAGTTACCGGTGTTTTGGTTTTTATTTTAACATTGTCATTCTGAAAT